AAAATAAATGAGTGAGTTTAATATTAAAATTGCGTCCAATCAAAGATAATACAATATTTACGAGTATTAACCCATTATATTAACCCTTAAATCGAATCGTCGATACATCAAACATATCCGATCGGTACGATCCCTTGGCGTAGAGCGTAGAGATGTGGCTTCACTCTGCATTTTCTATCGCATATATCATAGAGAGTGCTCCAAGGAATTGTTCGGACTAATACCAGCCGCAACTTTCCGCCATCGTTCCACACGGCAAAATTTTCATCCTCATCACCTGGATAGATGGCGCTTCAATACTGTGCTTTTCGAGACACTTTTTGCGACTCATAACCAATCTGGGGAACGGACTATCGTCTGCGGTATTTCCGGACCGATACGACCTTCAAACCTTCAAGAAAAGAGCGTACTCCTTCCTAAAAGGCCGGCAACGCGTTTGTGACTCCTGAGTTGCAGACGTTCACGGGCGGCGATGGTCACTTTCCATCCGGTGACGCGTCTGCTCGTCTGCCCCCTCTGAAAAATCGGTTCAGGGTCTCCCAGGATACGTTAGTTATAAAAAACTATATACTACTTATTTTTGACAGTGCAAGTAATTTTAACATTTAGAATGATTAAAGATATCTTAAAGTTTTGAAAAAAAAACATTGAGCTGTCAATCCTGAAATCTATTCGTAAAAGTTATAATGATATCGAGGCGGCGACATGTTGCTCCAGCTCGATTAAATTCTTATTATATTTCCTATAAACTTTACACTAACCACGTTCAAAGATTCGATTCGAAAGATTAACTAACCAACTTTTATGTGCGTTGTATGTTGAGAGTGTAAATATCAAAGAATTGATTGAATTAAAATTTGATATCTCTTAATTCAAATTAAAAACGTTATGGTATAGAATTTATGTACGTACCCCGTGGTTCCCGTTGCCAAGTTGAACAAAATTTAAAATTTTAGGTAACGGATACCACAGTACCTACGCATTACCTTAAATCAGTAATTTTCGTTCGCCTCACCTTCATTGGATTCTTCTTATGAAAGCCTTAACATTTTTGGGCTGTGACGGAGATAATAAGGGGACCGCTCATGTCATTGATGAAATGTACCATTAAAACCCACATTGGATAAAGTCCCCTTCAACAAACAACTATGATGCCATTCCTACATTAAACTCTATAAAACCATTGCCTTCACCATCAGTAGCTACACTTTCACCTATCACACCTCTTAAATAATGCATGGTTGCTATACAAGAGAGAAAATGTAGCTAAACTAGCACTAAAAGATTTTCAATATGATATTTACTAATGATGATGATGATGATTATTATTGTAGTAATAAATAAAGTACTATCTTATATCTACCTTTGTATGACTTTTTAAACCTGATGTCCCTAACCGACTTCTCGAATTTATCAATATTGCGTATCGATAGTTGTTACAGCCACGGTGGTTTGCAATGTGTCAATGTAGTGCTGCAACGCATTACACTGTTATTACACAGAATGTGTATACATATGTGTGTGTGAAATTGTTAAAATTATGTTGTTTTAATTGTTATGTGTGAGTTCCGTAGTGACAGCCGATTGTTTTTGTATTTGAGTCTGAGAATGTTTGCGTGGTGAAGATTCGAAAGAATGACAGACTAGTGATGCGCAAAATGTATCACTGAGCTGAAAAGATTGATATTTATCATTTCGCTCAAAAGATATATATCACTCATCTAGCTCACTAGCTCATTTAGCTCACTAACTCGATTAGCTCACTAGCTCATTTAGCTCACTAACTCGTTTAGCTCACTAGCTCATTGATCAGATTCAATTGATTGGTCTCGCAATTAATTCATTTCTTCATCTAGATCTTTTAGCTCAGTATACTCGTATATCACTCACTTTAAGCCTCTCTCGCCATACAAACCTTTCTTTATTTTCATATTAACCTAAATTCATTTTGAAACTACATTTTTATTTAACCAATTTTTTTTAAATACAATTTTATTCATTTTGATAAGATTACATAATTATTAACATCCTTTTACATAATAATTAAAAATAAGAAATTATTTCTTGTACTTTTACAGATACTTTTTGTACATTTTAGGTTGTATAATAGAAATCAAACATAATTTGATTTTCCTTGTACTTGGCTTAATTCTTAAGTAATATTAAACTTTGATCCTATAGAAATAATGTACATTTTGCATAAAGAAACCTGCGTGAACTCAACCATCATCTATCTCACTCATTTATCTTTAGTCTCACTCGCTCATGAAACAAAGATCGGCGTGTTGAGCTAGTGATCTAGTGAGCTAGTAGTGAGTTACTGATATATTCGGAGCTAGTGTGAGTGAGTGATACATTTTATCGTCGTGAGTGATATATATCTTTTATATCACTCACTCAGGAGCTACACAACTCTATGACAGACTATTTTGTATCGCGAAAAGACGCTATGGCTACTCATCTCCGGTCTGCCGGTGGCCTGTGGCTCTATGGTATTTACCGATGTTAGGTGACTTTCAGATTATATTTAGATCGTCCTTTGCATTTTTCCACACTTTTATCACACAAATCGTCATAATAAACAACACAAAATTTGAAAGCAACTAGTGCGTATCCAGTGTCAGTACTTCTGATACTAAACGCGGGACAAGCATTTAGAGGCCAACTGTTGGGCGCTATTTTTTCCTCTGCTTTCACAGCTTTAAGACTATCCATCTAGACAAAAATAATCTAATTTTGTACATAGGTCGACTGCGGCTTGAAATATTATATAGACTTTTGTGTCTCTCTATTACTTTGAGCTTTTTTTTAGCAGTTTAAATAGACATTTTTGAATGATGAGAATGAATTGGGCAAAATTCATTCTCATCATTCAAAAATTCTTTTATGGCCATGACGTGACATATCTATGTATCCTTGTAATAGAATTTGCACTGACTCACTCACTCCAGCTGATGAATGGAATGTGTACCTAAATTATCATCACTTCTTTGATGTTCCGCATTTGAAAATATTATTTAGGTTTTTTATCCTATTTTTATTGACTGCAATAAAACGCAGTAGGTAGGTTTACAATTTTGTTTACTACTACGGAAATGTATATAAAGGTAAAACAAGCAGCTGACTTGGCAAACGTACTGCCATATTGTTTAGTCTCACACCAACTTTGAGAATAAGTACAATTTTGAGAGTATACTATTGACAGAATGTCTGTTAGGCATAACAAGTTTGAACCTGTGAGGACAGCTATCTTATTAACCTTTGTAGGTATTCATATTGTGATTCAATTCTTAACTGCATTAAAATTATATATTTCATATGTATAAATGTATGAGTCTATTTTTTATGTCTTTGTATGATTATTACTTGCCGTATATGTTCTTCTTATTAAAAAAATATTTTACATATGTCCTAAAAATGCTTCTAACAGAATCTACATGAGTACTCTGGGTACTAATATAAATATTCTATGAATATTATGTTATTTATTCGTCATATAATCCCGTTTTTAGTTTCTGTGCATCTACCATGTACCAAAAAAAAGCTAAAAGCTCTGCGTCGCCCTGGGGTCGACAGTCCACCTATGTCACATTACATTTGTCAAAATAAAAAAATTGCAATTGAAAGTAATAAAATAAAAAGTGAAAGTAAAATGAGATACCTCACACTACATGGTTGTCTGAACCAAAACTAGGCAACTTATATATGCATCACCAAATACATACTTATTATAAATAAATTCAGCCAAACAACAAATGCTTATGCTCAACATGCAGATATATTTCCTGGGTGGGAGTCAATCCTCTGGCTCAGAATTGGCATGACTAACCACTAGATTATTAATCCTGTTATCAGTGTCTACTGTTCTAATAAAGAAATAAAATTATTCATAGCACTACAATTATTTCTTTTTATCTCGCTACACTAACAATGCTGATAAAATCATAAACCTTAACTTTTCCTGATAAGACAACGCATACTTTCAAGTGAGTTGAAGAAATCATACAACATTGAAGAAATACATATATTTATTATCTCTTAAAGAATACAAAACAACTAAGTTTATGATATTACATACATTTTGCATACAACATAATATATAATATTTTGCTTAAGACCAAATGAACAAGTTTTAATGCTATGCAAGAAAAGTGAAATGTTGGTCCCAACTGAATTCTATTTAGAAATATTAAGACATATATGATGACATCTGATACTATAAGACAAATGATAGAAATTTGCACTGATTTTATTATTTTATAGATTAAAAGTATGTTTAGGAAACTAAATAATTTGTGCATAGGTCATTTTATCACATTAAGCATACATTAACTCCTTGAAGCAATACAATACAAACAATTTTTTTTAAAGGGTGCTTTGAGATATTGATATCCAATTATATAGTTTCACTAATATTTAACTTATTATTAATTTTGTTACACTGATTGTATAGCAAACTCTTTAATAGGCAACAAGTATAATCACATGGAATATTTTCAATTCAACAATTTATATAACCAGGTAAATATCAGTTCTTTAACTTGGTCCAGCTAAGCTTGGGCTCTGCAATATTATAATAATCTTTATATTTAATACTACTTATCACAAGGTGATTCTGTACAATAGTTGGCCACTTTATAAATATAACTAGTAAGTATACAAAGTTAGAAAAAATTTGCAAAAGCAAACTTTTAGTATTTTCCCTGTTTCATTGAGAAGTTCAACATTATGTAAACAAGTCTTACAAGTGAATTTAATTCACTTCTAAGAGTTATAATTAGTATTCTAGTAAAGTTTGTAAAAAAATATCAAACTGTTTGCTATAATCCTTTTCTATAGATATAATGTGTGCACATTTAAAATATCTAGGCTTTTACAAAGGTTCAGTCGTAATTAGGTCATAATAACTTGCCTTGTTAGAGTGGTATAAATAAGTATCCATATCAAAGGGTTTCAGTTTAAATGCTTTGTGCTACAGTTGATTATCCACCAGTATTAGGTTAAGGAGCTGGGGCAGGGGCAGGGGCTGGGGTAGGAGCTGGTGCAGAAGAGCTGCCACCGCTTGTGGCCCACACAATAATAATAATAAGTAAAACTACCCCAATACCACCAATAATCAACATCATCTTTAAGTTTTGCCACCAATACTTTCTTTTGAGTTTGCCAGCTTGTTGTTCAAACTGTGCAGCACCATGTTGCAGTGCATCAGCGCGATTGTCAAGTTCTGACAACTTTTGATCCCTCTCTAAAACTTTCTCGACATTAACACGCATAATGCCAACAACTTCATCAACTTTAGCTTGAGTTTGTGCCAAGCGCTTGTCGCTTACTCTAGGGGCAGAGCTTCCGCCTTGTTCTTCCATTGTGATGCACTTTCGTTACTGTGTATTTATTTATAATGAAAAATGTTCTCCAGCTTAAGTTAGACAAGATCCTTACAAATTACACTACTACAAGTATAAAAAATATGGTTAAATCACAAACTAGTGAAAACAAAATTCTCGAATGAAGAATGACAGAACAATCAGCGTGACACATTCATTATGACGTCATGGTTTGATTACGTTTAAATTTTAATTTATATGCATCGAACCAATCAGATAAGTTCTTTTGATAGTAACTTTACTAGCTATTGGTCAATAGCTAAACATGATGATGTCAAACTAGATTGTAGAACGATGTTGGCTATGGTCACTAAATGTTCCAATTAAATTATAATTTTATCTTAAAAGAACATGGGCATTATTTTATTTAAAAAAAACGAGTTTAGTCAATAATAAATTTAGTTAAACCTACCATTTATTCAGAAAAAACATATTTACTCTGGCAATGGCAATACCATTGCCAATGGCTTTTTTCCAATCTGTCACTTCGGTTCCGAATAGATTCCTATTTTCAACGCCGGTGTTTAATTCCTATATAACTAAACAGACAAGCATACATACACAATGGTAAGAGATAATTTGCGTTTTACTATGTTGCAAATGTAAATTCGTACAAAAGTTATTTAATTATCGAAGATTATGTCGATAATCGCCTTAAATCCGAACCGTTGTTCGTCTTGCACGTGTGTCATGATCACATGAAATTGTTGTTTAGGTGTCTCTAAACCCGATAAGAATATTGAAAAATGAAGCTGAAGAAGAAAAGGCAGAAGTTGCCCGTTTGTCCAGTTTCATTGGAGCCATCGCCATAGGAGATCTGGTAAAAAGTACTTTAGGCCCTAAAGGTATGGACAAAATGTTAGTTTCCTGGGGAAGAAATGCTGGCCAGGTAATAATTGTTACTGAATACAAACTTATAATAGTATGTTTCCGTCACCAATAAACATTTTACTTACATAATTCTGTTACATTTTGTAGGTGGAGGTTACAAATGATGGGGCTACTATTCTGAAATCTGTTGGAGTGGATAACCCTGCTGCCAAAATTTTAGTAGATATGTCTAAAGTTCAAGATGAAGAGGTTGGAGATGGTACAACTTCTGTCACTGTTTTGGGTGTGTATGCAATTGTTTAGTAAAATAAATGTGTTTTATCTCAGTACTGTTTTGGTTGAAAGTTGATTTTTGCTGGTACTATGTTGCATTTCTTAGAGTATAGGTATACAGCATTATGCCAATGGGCTTAAAGAATAACTTAATATTTATAACAACAATTTTATTTGAGAAATTGTATCTATCTTATATGTCTTGATCGCTCCCTTTTTATGTCTTAATGGAAATGTTTAGAAGCCACTATTATAATATAATACTTAGCACCTTCACTGCTGCCTATAATAAATAAGAAATACCCTTAGACTGCTAATGAATGTACATAGAGTGTTTCCAGAACTGGAGTATTGTGTTCCCTTATAGCACTGCTAATAACACAGGTTGTGTTCTCTAAGACAGTGTTGAAAAAACAACTGTTGTGTGGCGTATTGGCAATGTGTGAAAACATATGTTTGAGTGCATGAATGTTTTTATTTTAGTTTATTTTGTGCAATATGTGTTCTCCATACAACAGTTGTGTTTTCAACACTCTTGTATGGAACACAAGGGGTGTGGGTTGCAGAACGCTCGTTGGGAACACAATGTGTGTGTTATTAGCACAACAGTTGTGTTTTGTGTTTTTTCAGCACTGGCAAAAGGTTTGTTATTGAGCAGTGAAGGTGTTAACCATAATATGTATTTCATGGTGGCTCAACAGTATCCTACAAATTCATCACATCTATAATGTGATGAATTTGTAGGATACTGTTTGTCTGATTTGTAGGAGGTATCCTTATTGTGTGATGCCATCAGATAATCAAAACTAAATCACCAATAAGATCTTTTTAATTAGAATGAGGTATGACAAAAAGCTACAAGTTAGACTGACTCTGATTACCTGATTTTGTAAAATACCATATTTTTAATTGGACACCATAAAACCCACATCACAAGAATATACCAAAATAAATTGCTGGTACAATCAATCTTATTGCTGATTGCGATTTAACTGACCACTTTAGTCATAGACAAATATGTTGAATTCACAAAGGACATTTTGCAGGTGTACAAATTAGGATTAACTTTAAAAAACGATACATATAACAAACATTTACTTATATGCACTTTACAATATGAAATAAAAGTTGATTTACTAAAGCTGAGTGAACAGCATACTAAATACTTTACTGTATTGTTCTGTTTTCTTCCTGCAGTTGATAATATAAAATCTATTCTTTTTGTAAATTATTAGGTTTCCTGTATTAATTTTAATGATTGTATTATGTTGCTCATTATAAATGTTAATATATGCTATTTTTAGTTTTAAGTTGTAGTGATTTAAGTAGCAGTATTTGTTAATTGTGCTTTACTGATATCTTGTATTTTTGTATTTTAGCTGCTGAACTTCTTAGGGAAGCTGAAAAGCTCATAGAACAGAAACTGCACCCACAGACAATCATTGCTGGATGGCGTATTGCAGTTGATGCTGCCAAACAGGCTTTGTCTGATTCAAGCTTTGATCACCAGAAAAACTTTGATGAGGCTGCTCTGCGTGCCGACCTTGAAAACATTGCTCGTACGACACTCAGTTCCAAGATTCTGTCTAATCACAAAGAGTAAGTAACATCTCTTATATGATAAAATAAGAATATTTTTTTTAAATAATTAGCTAAAATAGCTTTATAAATACTAAATAGAAGAACAAAAAGCAGGCTGTGTAACACATTTACATGTATCCAACTAAAATACAAAATATTAACAAACACATCAAACTTTGACTTATGCTTATGTTTGTATTTAAAGTAATCATATTTATGTTTTGTTTGTATGATATTTTTTTCTGCATATGTTAAATAAAAAATATTGTTTTCAGACACTTTACAAAATTAGCTGTAGACGCAGTACTTCGCTTAAAAGGGTCTGGTAACCTTAAGGCTATTCAAATTATCAAAATATCTGGTGGTGTACTAGAGGAGTCTTTCCTGGATGAAGGTTTTCTTCTTAATAAAAAGGTAATTTTAATAGTTATTCATAACATAAAGAAATATTATCTTTATACAGATTTCCTTGATTTTTTTGCTCTGATCTTATTTTGCAATTAACGAGGGATGTGATCCCTCTCCTTAGTTATTCTTAATCATAAATGTATTTAAAATTCATTCCATTCAGACTTAAATGATTGTAATTCATTACATTTTTTCTCATATAGGTGGGAGTTCATCAACCCAAAAAGTTAGAAAATGCCAATATCTTGATAGCCAATACTCCCATGGATACTGACAAGATCAAGGTATTTGGTTCTACCATCAAAGTAGACTCCATGGCCAAAATAGCTGAACTGGAAGTTGCAGAGAAAGAGAAAATGAAAGATAAAGTTAACAAGATTCTTGGTCATAAATGCAATGTCTTTATTAACAGGTTTGTAGTTTATTTGTTTTAATAAATTTACAGATATGGTACAGTTAGTAAGTACTTAATTATCAACTAAAAAGCAATGTAAGGCCTGTGCTTGTGTCTTGTTTATGATATTAGAAAACTTCTTCCAGAATGGGGTTAAGTAAAAAGCTAAGTGCCCCTTCTTTATCAATTAGTTGGAATATCTCTATCGGTTACCATACATTATATAAGACCAAGCACCCAAACAAAACCAGTTAAACCATCGAATATCCAACTGAAAACAAATAATACCCACAATGTTTACAGACAGCTCATCTACAATTATCCAGAGCAGTTGTTCGCCGACGCTGGCGTGATGGCTATTGAACACGCTGATTTCGATGGTATTGAACGGCTGGCGCTTGTGACTGGCGGCGAAATCGTTTCCACGTTCGACTCACCGGAGAAAGTTAAATTGGGACACTGCAAACTCATTGAGCAGGTTTGTTCAAATATTTGCCTCTTAAAAATGTTTAGGTCAAAACTTTATTTAGAGTGTTAATCTTGTTAAATTAAGGTTAATTGGTCAGTTTGTCGGGTTGTAAATGTGACACCTTCATGTGAAATAGTGTTTTCATTTGTGTAAGTTCCTGAGATAAATCTTGTGATATACAGGTGATTATAGAAACTTGCTAGGCTGCTTTTTTATACATTTTAACGACGATAGACGTCATTGGAGCATTTAGAAACCCATGTGAAAAAAATCAAGTTATCCCTAGATGTACAATTCTTGTAGTTTATAAACCTAACCAAGTAAAGAAAGTACAGGTATTCATATTTCTGTTTCTTTCTAGTCTAATGTAGGGTATTATCTAGATCAAATACATACTTAAGCACCTGTGGAACAACTAGGAACAGCAACAGTTAAACGTGAACCTATCGAAAACACAAGCGATCGTAATCGGTATAGCACTAGGTCTTTATCTAAAGTCGAGTCGTCACATCAGCCCCAAATACTAGTCCCGATTTCGATCACTGTCAAAAATCTGGGAATTCATTTTGGTAAAAACTGGTCCTGGGGTTCGCAAGTACAAAAAGCTAAATAACTACAATTTAGCTTAGCTGGAATGGTTAACGGGAATACTAGTAATTTCGGTTGCCTTTAAAAATAAAGAATAAGCTAAATAAGCCTTTAAAAAAAAAGTCAGTAAAAAATGGTTTGCTTCTGCCGGATCTCTGAGAAGGCTGCGTAACTTCTTACCAATTACGACCAAAATTGCGCTTGCAGAATCCCTTCTCCATTACACAGATGCCAGCTATCCTGATCTCACTGAGGACCAACTTAATAAGGTTGAGCGGCTTCAATAGTTTTGCAAAACATTTATTTTTGGATTGCGCAAATCTGACCATGTTTCTGAATATCGGAATAAGATCAACTGGTTACCTGTTCGTTTTCGCCGGAATATCCATATCCTTTCACTATTTATACAATGTACTCTTTAGTCCAGACAGTCCCCTTTATTTAAAAGAACGCTTCAAATTCATACATGATATGCATTCAAAGTTGCTAAGATAGTCGGAGAACTTGACTTTAATAATCCCGAGGCTTTCTACGACTTTTATGCATATGCATTACCACTGCAAATTAGATGAGCACAAACACTCGCTAACTTTAAAAAAATATTGAAAGAGCATTTACTAAATTGTTGAGCAATGAGATTACCTTGATTTCCTTAAATCCTGTGTGTACCCACATCTAATTCTTGCTTTTAAATGTATCCTATCTTGTGTAGTGCATATGTGTGTCTAATATATTTAATAATAGTGTATGTGTGTATTCAGTCAGCTATGTAAGTAATTATTTGACTTTGTTAGTCTTATATATTGTATTGTACTATCGTATTGTACTGTAAAATTGCAACTCCCGGTTGCCTGCCCGGAAGAGATCGCAAATCGCGATAAGGCCGCCAATGTGTAACATTAAAAAATTAAAAAAATATAATTTTAACTAATGAATGTCTATGTTGAATACAAATGAATGAACTAACTGGTCCGGCACCACAAATTCTAACAAAACCAATAATCTCGGGCGCCAGGTTTAAATGAACATAGACAACTAAAAACAAATACAATAAATACCTGGAATAGCTCGGTCAGCGCTTAGACTTTTAATCTAGGGTGGGGGGAAGCTATAAAATAAAGAGATGTTATAAGATTAAGAGGCAGTTTATTTATCCCGTAGTGTCTGTTGAGTACATGGAATATTATAGATCTAATTACAAATGTAATTCTTATTCTCAAATTAGTTCTGTCGTTAATGCAATCTGTTTACCTTGATCATACAAATTAAAGGTAAAATATCTTTAAAAGTCATATAAAGACTGTTTAATACATAAAGAAATTAAAGGTAGTTATTATAACGACCTACTCCCATAATAATAATAATAACGGCCCTCAGAGCCCACAGTATCCGTTATGACAACGCCAGTAAAAATTCATATACAACAAAAGACATACCGATAACGCCGGCACAGTCCGTTTGGAATTATGGTAAAACTAATTCCTATAACGCTCACTCCTGTTCTCCACGTGGTTGTCATCGTGGCGGGGTAAGTAATCCAACCTTCCTGGTCCCTGTCCCAAGCGAATCCAAATAATGGGCTGCAGTTAGAGGACTTTTCCTGCCATTAGAGGTACTTAGGAAAGGAAATACACTCTCCGAAGCAAACTAAATCCCTGGATCAGGCAGGTTGTGAGTTAAAAACTAGTTGTCTAGCAATCTAATAAGAAGAAAAGCCATAAACAAAAAATAAAAAACCCTGTTACGGCACAGGGCTCCAAACCGTCTCACAAATAAATCGGAGGCATTACTAATAATACCAAAAAGGCAAAATTACACTTCCATTAAAAAAACTCAATTTATTAACAAAACCGGCCAACAATAAAAGGTGATTAACCCTCTGATTATAACAAATTGAAACGGATTTCATTTCCATCTTTCAAAAATCACAAACATGTCTACCCCGGTCAGCTTCGCCCAGGAAGATGCAAATGCGACAAAAAGTGTTGCCAGAGCAAGTAGTGCTAAAAACTGCAATAGAATGAATACTTCCATAGAGTAAATAATTCCATGGACCGAATCACTACAATAGTCGAATAAAATAGACTAAAAAATCTCGACTGTGACGCCATCTTTCGGAGCTTTACTGAAACGTCAGAAAATTCATCTGTAAATAACAACACGTCGATAATTAACTTTTCTGTAATGGTGCAGAAATGCAACGTTACAAATTGTACAACTATTTTGTAGAACTAGTCATACTTTCTTTGTTTAACTGTCCCTAGATTATAAGACTCATTCAAATGTATACAAATTGTTCTATAATTATGTCCATTTTGTCTTGTCCAATAAAGAGTTATCTATCTATCTATTATTTTCTCTTGTAACATTTCAATAAAAAAATGTGGTTTATGTTTCAGGTTTTGATCGGTGATGAGTGCCTTATTCGTTTCTCGGGCGTCGAGCTAGGCTCTGCTTGCACGGTTGTAATTCGCGGTGCGACGCAACAAGTGATCGATGAGGCCGAGCGGTCTCTGCACGATGCGCTCTGTGTACTCGCCGCAACCGTTAAGGAACCTAAAGTCGTGTTCGGAGGCGGTATGTTATCTCACTCCATCATGATACATAAAAACCTATGCATTTTTTGTGTACCTATTCAATTAATCGGTTACAATAATAAACACAAGTGTTATTAAAATCAAGTTCAATCATTTATTGTCTTTTCCTATAGTCTGAAGCGCCATTATATCTTTATATGTATATATAATTCTCTCTGTGCGTGTGTATGTGGCTGAACTCCGTCAAAACGGCTGGCCTGATTTTAATGAATTTTTATTGTGTTCAATACTGTTCAAGTGGCTTCGTCGGACACTACAAAATGATTTTTTGGTTACGAGGCATGCCTTTTAAGTTTTGTCGTTTGAAGAAAAAAACGCAACTAGAACCTTATAGTACTTTCTATTGTTTTTCAAAGTATTCACCACGTAGCTTAATACACTTTTCCATTAGCTCAAACCAGTTATTATAACATTTATTCCACTCTAAAGTGGGGTTGTTCAATATGGCTGAATTGAAAGCGTCGACTGCTTCTTCACCGGACTGGTACCTTTGACCACGAAGACTTTTCTTAATTTTAGGAAATGTTACTGCTTAGGTTCCACTGTATGGACCTGACTACAGTCCTGACTGTATGGAGGAAGGTCAAGAATTTCTACTTTTCCTGCTTCAAATACTCAATCGTTTGACGAGCGATGTGTGAGCTTGCGTTGTCGTGGTGCAGGATGATGCGTCGCTTTGAGTTAGATTTTCAAAGTTCGGCGATGACTTGTAGTAAACAAACTGTGGTATACTACTCTGCGTTAACCGTTCTACGATCTTCAAGTGCAATAGTCGCAACATGGCCGGTTTTTCCAACGAACGTGGCCACCATCTTCTTTGAAGTGCTTTGAGAACGAACAACTTTAGTCTGCTTTGGCTCGTCTTGAAAGACCCAGATTGTAGATTGTTGTTTGGAATCAGGATCGTAGGCATAGATCCAAGATTCGTAACCACTGATGATGTCGTAGACGTGATTTGACTCTCCTCGGTTGAACCTTTGCTGTGTTTTCTTACACCATCTGACGCGAGCCGCCTTGTGATTGTCGGAAAGCAGATGCGGTATCCAACGGCAAACTAACTTTCTCAAACCAAGCGCTTCATGCAAGGTCTTCTGAATGGTTGTCTCTGATATGCCTAATAGAGCCTCTATCTCTCGATACGTCACATGACGATCTTCTAGAGTCAGTTGTCTCACAGCAATGATGTTATCTCCAGTGAAGGCGGATTTTGGGCGTCTTTCGCGAGATTTGTCACTAACACTAGTATGTCCGCGCTGGAATTCTAAATACCAGCGTTCGACTGTGTGATAAACACAGATGTTAGCTCTTCAAAACACTGAAGCCGTGTCAGGCCTCTTCTAAAGTTGTAGAAATTTTTTTGTCGATTCATTGTCGTACGTAATCTCACAGATTCCAATCGACGCTGTGACTAGACAATAGCATTAATCCTAATACTTTCAACTGTTTTGAGATTCAAAATTTAAACAAATTCGAATATAGAACAGTTCCAAATTCAAAATTGCCGGGAAATATGAAAACGACAGAACTTAAAAGGCATGCCTAGTAATCTGCTTCGGATTTAAGACGTAAATCATTAGAAAATGTTACGTAAGTTACGTTAGTTACGTAAAACCTGTGCAGGTGCGAGCGAGATGCTGATGGCGGAAGCGGTGTCGCGCGTGGCGGCGCGCACAGCAGGCAAGGAGGCGGCCGCCACCGAGGCCTTCGCCGTGGCACTGCGCCGCCTGCCCGCCGCCGTGGCCGACAACGCTGGCTATGACTCCGCCGACCTCATAGCGCGCCTGCGCGCCCACCATGCTCAGGGCGAGCTCACCATGGGACTCGGTGAGTCGCCTACCTAACTAGCATCATTTAGGAACACTGTTTTGATTCTCTTTCACGCTACGTCGACATTTTCAATACGCATAGAGTTAAAAATCTAAAGGGCTGAGTTTATCATACACGGTGTAAGGTACGAGGGGTGATCAATAAGTAATGATAATCAATATGAAACAGAACTATTAGATTAAAAAAAGTATTTTATTTTTCAACATAGTCTCCTTGCAAGTTAATACATTTAGTGTATCTTTTTTCTAAGCCAATGATTCCCTTAGAAAAAAATTCTTTGTCTTGACCCTCCCAAAATGCCTCTACTGCGGCCATCACTTCACTATTGTCCTCAAATTTGTTGCCCCGGAGGTGTTCTTTGAGCCGAGGAAAGAGGTAGAAGTCACTGGGAGCTAGATCTGGCGAATAGGGAGGGTGTTCGAGCAGTTCGAAGCCCGTTTCTTCAATGGCAGCCATCGCAACTGCGGCTTTGTGAGCCGGGGCGTTGTCTTGGTGAAACAGCACTCCAGCGCGCAGTTTACCGCGTCTTTTTGACTTAATAGCTTCTCGCAATCTTCTTATTTGGCCTGCGTAGTAAGAGCCTGTTATAGTGGCCCCCTTTTCCAAATATTCTACCATAATAATTCTGCATCCCAGAAAACCGACGCCATAACCTTTCCCGCTGAACTTGACACTTTGAATTTCTTCGGCGTTGGTGAGGAAGCTCGTTTCCAAGTCATTGATTGTTGTTTGGTTTCGGGATCAAAGTGGTGGATCCAGGTCTCGTCCATGGTCACAAAACGCGACAAAAAAAATTATTTATCGGCCTGGAACTTTTGAAGATTCACCCTCGAAATGTCGACTCGTTTCTTTTTTTGCTCGTCGGTTAACATTCTCGGTACCCAACGCGCAGAGACCTTTTTCATATGCATTTTGTTGACAATGATTTTTTGAACGCTGCCATAGGAGATCCCTGTGACCTCAGCTACATGCCTTACGGTCACCCTTCGATCGGCCAACACGATACCTTCCACTTTTTTGACGTTTTCTCCAGTAAGGGACGTGGAAGGGCGTCCCTCGCGATGTTCATCTTCAGTGGAGGTTCTGCCCAGCTTAAATTCCTTTGCCCAGCGTGCGACTGTGGAATATGGAGGAGCAGACTCCCCCAATGTTTCCTCTAAGTCGCTGTGTATGTCTTTGGTAGACATTTTTTTCAGGCAGAGGTACTTGATGACAGCTCTTATTTCATTTTTCTCCATTTTGATGTTTTCTCTTCGACAGTTCGTATTCAAATGAATGTATCTCCCGGTAATGGTGTCCTATTTATACATTTTTTTGAAGCTGAAGTAGTGGATATATAAGCAAGCAGAAAAAAAATAATTTGGGTTTTTGTGCGTTCTAGAAATACTCGATTATCATTACTTATTGATCACCCCTCGTACATCGTAATGAATACTGAAATTGTGTGTATCCATCATTCTCAAAACATTGGAATTTTCTGCCGGCATATTAAACTTTTTATGCAATCAACTGTCAAAGGTATAGGCCATTCCCCGTTAGGTATCGCACAAAAGTAATAACCACATGTGTATTCCTTGCAAGTAACACAAGTTGGCGGCCGGAGGGGAGGGCCCGCGCGCTTCGGCTTTTTGCTTAATTACATTGCAGTTTTTTACCGTATACGGTACTAGCTGACCCGCGCAACTTCGTCTGCGTCACTCAATAGTAATAAATTTTCTCCGTTTTCAAAACATTCTTCATTGGTGCTCCGCTCCTATTGGTCTTAGCGTGATGATATATAGCCTATAGCCGTCCTCGATAAATGGGCTATCTAACACTGAAAGAATTTTTCAAATCGGACCAGTAGTTCCTGAGATTAGCGCGTTCAAACAAACAAACAAACAAACAAACAAACAAACTCTTCAGCTTTATAATATTAGTATAGATTTATTAATTTGTTTTCGGTTTAATGTTCTATATCATTATATATATAATTTTAAACCAAAAAACATATGGAGAATTTAAAAAAAGATGAATTTTCCGGCAATAAATTCAGTGATCCAATGATTTTCGACTCAGAATCATGGTCTGAATACATAGTATTCGTTACGATGTCCCTTACACCCTGTATATGAACTTTATTCAACACAACATTAAACAAAAACGAAAAACTGAGTTTCGTTAGTATTCTTCATAATCTGTTGCCAGACAGAAACCTACTGAGGCTTCCGACTGGAAACAGATCAAGAAACACATAAAGTGACGAATTAAATTTATGGCATGGATTACAACGATAATTTAAAAAAATCCATTTTATTTTCACTGCAAAATATTGGCTTTATACATTGTAGAGAAAATGTAATTAAATATAAAATTAAGAGAAAAACAACACCTATGTTTTGCATAAATAAAAAAAAACTTATTTAAGCATTATACACGGTTTTATATGCAAAGTTTACCTTGACCGCGCGCCGCCACTATGACAGTTTTTAATTAGTTTGACAATCTAGCGCCTTTGCTTAACCAAAGCGACCTAATGACTCCTATAGACCTCATGACTAAAAGCCAAGCACAGCTACCCCTCGTTCAAGCCAGCTAAATCCACTTAGCATAGACTAGACCTAGTTTGAGCCTAGTACCGCCCAGCAACACTTCACCTCCGTGACCTAGAAATCATGAAATTAAACGGTTTGAACTAAATTGAATCGCAATTGTCACCTTGATATACGACGGAAATCTTGTTTTTTACAGATATGCAAAATGGACGTGTGGGTGATATGAAAAAATTAGGTGTGACCGAGTCATACGTTGTGAAGCGACAAGTGCTGGTGTCGGCCGCCGAGGCCGCCGAGATGATCCTCCGCGTCGACAACATACTGAAGTCGGCGCCGCGTCGCAGGGGGCCCGACCGCCGCCCGTGCTAGTGCTCTACGCGTGTTCACACGCAGCACTGCATAAATACAAGTGGGATAACTGGGCAAAAACACACAAATACCTTCATTCGTTTGATATATTTGGTAATGAACACGTAAAGCAAGGTTAGAACAAAAAAGGTGCCCTAATCTAATATAGAAAATATTTTGTGTAGGTTTCTTTTTACCGATTGGGGCTGATTAGTTTGCTATCGAAGTTATTAAAACGATTATGGAGAGCCAATATCAATTGGCAATACATATATAAATATATACACAACCATTCTTTTAACTAATCCTGTTACATGTGCATTTTATATGGGGCAATTAAAATGTTTATTTTTGAGTCTATAGATTAAGAGAACTTGAAAATCTATATGTCACTATGGAGTTAGATTAAAATATTTCATTTTTGTAAAAATAATTATATTGTCTAACGCACTGATAAGGTTTACATTTTCATTAAATTTGTTGCAAGTTGTACCACTTCTATTTATGTCTTTGTATTATTTACAATACACCGTAAAATACTTTATTTGAAACTTATTAATAATATAAGTTTAGCAATACTACAGATTACACAACACTAAATTTTGTAATGACATGGTTTTAGTTAATATGTGTAACTTCACAAAGGAACTTACTGAAATTCGGCTACGTTTTTAATAACTATTTTGCGTTTTAATGGTTGGACTATGTTAAGAAGAAATATTGATTTTAAACTTAGTGTCTTCTAGTTATGTTAGAATTCATATTGAGCTGCGCTAGTTCCATTACTTGATTAGCTTTTAGCTTTAATGGCCGGTGATGCCTTCGTATTAATGTATTAACAAATAATTTAATAAAATTGTACCAGAAAATGTATTGTTTTTATTATTCAAGAAACATACAACATCGTTAAAACAAATGAAGTATTTGCTATAATAATTTGCTCACGCACTATATCGGTCAGCTGTCATCACCTAAATCGCTCTGGCTGTCTACATTTTTTTAAATGAGTGACATAAATTGTTGATCAATTCTAATAGGGCTTATCGTCATCAATGCCCATTATGAACTAATACTTGCAATCTCGATCGTGTGAGGGTGTGTGGAGGTAGAATGGTGGGCGAGAAAGATCGAGTTGGTGTGAAATAAACTCACACTGGGCTGTCAGACCTTCCATACGTCGCGTGAGGTGGGTGTGCGTTACCCCAGCAAAATAATGTCGAAAATGGCCATTTAAACGTTATAGATAATTAGTTGCTCCCCTTCTGTAATTGTTAGGCACATTTTTAAATTTGTTTCACTTAAACTTTTTTAGTTATTTCAAAAAAACACTTCCTGCTGGGGTAACGTTTGAAACGTTACCGCAGCCAGACATTTTCTTTTTTAATTGTAATATTGAAATAAATGTTAGCTAAATAATTAGTTATCTGGACTAGGTAAATGTTACAACTTATTTGGTATTTGTATTTTCTTCGGCTCCGAAGTTATTCGAGATCCTGCTGGAGTAACGTTTGTGGGTTTGCTGGATCTCTGAAACGGGTAAGCGGATTGTAACCATCTTTTGTACATAACTTCTTAAGGATTAGTTTTAATTTGTTCGACAATAAAATAATAAAAATAATGGACCGTTTAAAAATTATTTAGGTAAGTATGAAAACACTTCAATACGTCCTAACACTTTGAATAAGACCTCTAAAGACTTACTTCAAACGTTATTCTATTGCTTGTTATGTGTTATGTTTATGTACTACGCTGAAATTTTACAGGTAGACAACTGAACTAAACAACTAATTATTGGCATAACATTCAGTTTATATATCCACACACAGGTTTATCGGTGGCCAAAAAAGGCCGCACACATTGTGATCGTGAACGTGGAGAGCTACATTTCATCATAACTTTTTAGTCACTTACAGTACTTCTTCTTCCTTTAATTCAGTGGCTCCATCGGATGTCGATGATTTTGCCAATGTCTAGGTCACTTACAGTATTCTTACGAAAATTGAAGATAGTTACAAGCAATAGAATAACGTTTGAAGTAAGTCTTTAGAGGTCTTATTCAAAGTGTTAGGACGTATTGAAGTGTTTTCATACTTACCTAAATAATTTTTAAACGGTCCATTATTTTTATTATTTTATTGTCGAACAAATTAAAACTAATCCTTAAGAAGTTATGTACAAAAGATGGTTACAATCCGCTTACCCGTTTCAGAGATCCAGCAAACCCACAAACGTTACTCCAGCAGGATCTCGAATAACTTCGCAGCCGAAGAAAATACAAATACCAAATAAGTTGTAACATTTACCTAGTCCAGATAACTAATTATTTAGCTAACATTTATTTCAATATTACAATTAAAAAAGAAAATGTCTGGCTGCGGTAACGTTTCAAACGTTACCCCAGCAGGAAGTGTTTTTTTGAAATAACTAAAAAAGTTTAAGTGAAACAAATTTAAAAATGTGCCTAACAATTACAGAAGGGGAGCAACTAATTATCTATAAAGTTTAAATGACCATTTTCGACATTATTTTGCTGGAGTAACGCACACGTGAGGTGGTCTGCTAAAAAATATACTTCTGTATGTTATAGACTGAACAAGTGGATTACTAGTGACTCTATTCCATAACTTTATTCTTACCTTTTAATAGGAACTCAATACAGCCGTTATTACAAAAAATGCAATAACTAGGTTCAAAATAACGTCGCTTTTTCACTAGAAGAGTTGTCTCGGGAATGGAGAGCTGTCCTGCAAGCTGGTTTGGGTGTTTTTGAAGTCGTGACTTGTTGCGGGAGCAATAGTACGAGGTCCGGCTGCAGAATCAGTGTACTCATCGAGTATGTGCTAAAAACCCATATTTATGATTAGGAGATTATATATCTACCAGGTTGCCTATCAAAATGAGGCCGCTAGTATTTTTAATTCATCATCAATCATCAACAGCCTTTAATAGTCCACTGCTGGACATAGAACTCTCCTTAGAAAGGATGTTTTGGCCCACTATACCACGCTGGCCAGAAGGGTTGGTATAGGGTTTATGTCAAGTCGGGTGCTAGGCTAGAAAACCTCCCCGTGGTGTACCCTGGAAACGCTGGCGATGGCACTGTTTCCTCCTTGTCCACTTGGAGGAGAGGATTATCGCCAGCGGCTAATATTCTAGCAGAAGAGGAAGCCGTTCATCGGCTCTCGGGCAAGGCCTGGTCCAGCAGGGTGGGCGTGTCTGCCGGTTGCCCTGCTGGCTCTTCGCTCTTCGGAGCATGGAGGAGGAAACCTCGGTAAAAAACCGGATGGCGGGGCCCTGTAGGGGCCACAGTTTCTCCGCTGACAGCGGTGGAGAAAGGAGGACGGGCTCGGCGTGTACTGACACTACCACCGAGGAGGCAGGGGGACGTAGTCTCCCTGTCAACCGTCGGCATATCGTAATCCCGAGAAGAGCGCTGTGGTCAAGTCTCGCGGCTCTGATCGGGAGCGAGGGTCTTGGCTTCAAGACGGGGCCCAAAACAGCGCCGAGGAGCGGAGTGGCATTCCCTCCGCTCCTCCAACGAGGGTTGGCAGGAGGCGAGGGGCTCCAAGAAGTCCCGAAGGCGGGCCAGAAGGGCTGCCCAAAAAGCAGCCCAAGCCCAGCCTTCGCCACCGGTGGCAACGGCCTCTACAAAGAGGCCGCGGAAGCTGCAGCCGCCCAAAACCGCGGCTGTAGTGGTGACCGTGTCCCCGGAGGCGGCTGACGGCGGGCTGTCCTACGCGGCCGTCTTTAAAACGGGACAGCCTCGCCAACGATTTTGGGACGGTGGGGGTCAGGATGCGCCTCGCCCAGACGGGAGCTCGAGTCCTCGAGTTCCCTGGGGCTGAAGGCGCTAAGACGGCAGACACGTTTGCTGTATTATATGTATATATTCGCCACCACAGATGGTGTGCCAAGTGCCAAGTGCGCGGAGCTGCGCATCTCGGGCCTGGACGACTCTGTGACGGCCGAAGATGTCCGCGCTGTAATCCGGGAGAAGACGGTGTGCAGCGCGGACAACGTCAGGGTCGGCACCATCCGCCCCGGTCCAGGAGGGCTTGGCGCCGTGTGGGTCAGCTGTCCCGTAGCGTCGGCCAAAGTATTGGCCGACGCCGGCAGGCTGCTCATCGGTTTCGTGAGCGCTAGGATCACTATCCTGGCGGCGAGACCGATGAGGTGTTACAAATGCCTAGCATCGGGACACACGCGCGTCAAGTGTCAAAGATGAAAGATGAAATCACCAGATGGGGCAGGGAGGCTGCAAGCCTCCCCGCAACTCTCAGCAAGCATCGGGGGCTAGCCAGTCGACCCAGGCTGCCTCCGATGTAGTTCGTGCGTCGACGTCGTCGCCCATGGAGGAGGTTGTAGAGACGATCCAGTAATGGATCAAGTCTCCAACCTCCTGGTCCAGACGAACCTGAACCACTGTGCCGCGGCGCAGGATCTCTTCCTGCAAACCATGGCACAGTGGTCGATAGGTGTTGCCGTAGTCGCGGAGCCCTATTCTGTCCCTCCCCGTCCAAACTGGATGGGTGACTGGGACGGCTCCGTGGCAGTCGTCGGTTCCACGGCGGCTCATTCCCCGCCCTTGTCGCTAAGAGACAAGGGCACTGGATATGTTGCCGCCGAGTGGGGGGGGATCACCATATATGGTGTTTATTTCTCCCCCAACCGGAGTTTGAGCGACTTCGAGATTTCTTCAACAACCTGGAGACCTCGATGCGGCGACTAGCGTCTGGGCACGTCCTTGTTCTGGGGGACTTTAACGCAAAATCCACGAGCGGCGCGGCGCGAGAGGCGAGGCCGTAGAGGAGTGGGCGGCCTCGGTGGGCCTCTGTCTTCTCAACAGAGGCTCCACCAACACGTGCGTGCGACAGCAGGGGGCGTCGATAGTGGACCTTTCGTTCGCTACCCCTGCCCTCGCCGCACGAGTAAGGAACTGGCGTGTCCTGGAAGAGGTTGAGACGCTCTCGGATCATCTCTATATCCGATTTGAGCGGACCCAGGACTCCAGTAGGGGTCAC